CATAACATTGAAAAATTGAAAAAATGAGAAAAATAAAAAGTCCAAGCAAGAAATTGCAAATCCATAAATTGAAGAAATGAAAAATTGAAAAATCTAGAAATTTAAAAAAATTAAAAATTGAAAACTCGTAAAACTGAAAACTCAAAGAGGTGCATGTCGTAGAATTGAAGAAACAAAAAAATGAAAAATTGAAAAACTGCAAATCGTAAAATTGAAGAAACGAAAAATTGAAATTGAAAAAACAAAAAAAATTTAAAATCGAAACATTGAAAAATGGAAAAACTGTAAAAATAAAGTAAACAAAAAATCGAAGCGAAAAATTGCAGCTCGAAAATTTGAAGAAATAAAAAACTAAAGAATTTAAAAATTGAAGTCTCGAGAAATTTTAAAACGAAAAATTGCGAAATCTAAAAATTGAAGAAACAAGAAAAATTGAAAAAAACAAAAAATTGAAAAATCGAATAATTGAAATAATAAAGAAAATAAAGAACCAAAATTGAAAAATTAAAAATTCAAAACTCAAGACACTCAAATTGAAAAATTTCAAATTTTATTTTCTTGATTTTATATCACAATTTTACGTTTTTTTCTCAATGTCTCGTTTATTCAATTCTTCAAATTTTCACTCTTTGATAATTCAATTCCTCAATTTTCCAATTTTTAATTTTTTCAATTTTGCAATTTTTGGATTTCTCAATTATCTGTTTTTCCGATTTCTTTAGTTTTTAATACTCCGTTGTTTCAAAAAATTGCAAATCGAAGAACTGGGAAACGGAAAACCGAGATAGTGAAAAACTAAAAATCAAGAATGAAAAAATGAATTGAAAAATTGGAAAACCCAAAAACTGAAAAATCGAAAAAAGAATCGTCAAGATTGTAAAGTCGAAAAACTCTTAACATCGAAAAATTCAAAAATTAAACATAGAAAAATTGAAAAAATAAAATTGGAAAAATTCTAAAATCGTAAGGTCGAAAAAGTGAAAAATTTTAAAAATACATCTAATCTAATTAATATTCGATAAATATGTATTTAAAATGAAAACTAGAAATATTGCAAATCAGAAGTTGAAGAAACGAAAAATTGAAAAATCCAGAAAACGAAAAATCTAAATTGAAAAACAAAACATTAAAAACTCTATAAGTTCAACTGAAAACCGAAAAATTGAAAAATCCAAAAATTGAAAAATTTTACATTGAAAAAATAAATAGAAAACCAGAGCATTGAAAAATTGAAAAAATGAGGAAAATAAAAAGTCCAAGCAAGAAATTGCAAATCCATTATTTGAAGAAACGAAAAATTGAAAAATCTAGAAATTTAAAAAAATGAAAAATTGAAAACTCGTAAAACTGAAAACTCAAAGAGGTGCATGTCGTAGAATTGAAGAAACAAAAAAAATGAAAAATTGAAAAACTGCAAATCGTAAAATTGAAGACACGAAAAATTGAAAAAATTAAAATTGAAAAAACAAAAAAAAATTAAAATCGGAACATTGAAAAATCGAAAAACTGTAAAAATAAAGATAACAAATAATCGAGACTAAAAATTGCAGCTCGAAAATTTGAAGAAATAAAAAACTAAAGAATTTAAAAATTGACGACTCGAGAAATTTTAAATCGAAAAATTGCTAAATCTAAAAATTGAAGAAACAAAAATTGAAAAAACAAAAAATGAAAAAATCGGATAATTGAAATAATCAAGAAAATAAAGGACCAAAATTGAAAAATTAAAAATTAAAAAGTCAAGAAACTCAAATTGAAAAATTTCAAATTTTATTTTTTTGATTCTATATCACAATTTTACGTTTTCTTCTCAATGTCTCGTTTATTCAATTCTTCAAATTTTCACTCTTTGATAATTCAATTCCCCAATTTTCCAATTTTTAATTTTTTCAATTTTGCAATTTTTGGATTTCTCAATTGTCTGATTTTCCGATTTCTTTAGTTTTTAATATTCCGTTGTTTCAAAAAATTGCAAATCGAAGAACTGGGAAACGGAAAACCGAGATAGTGAAAAACTAAAAATCAAGAATGAAAAAATGAATTGAAAAATTGGAAAACCCAAAAATTGAAAAATCGAAAAAAGGATCGTCAAAATTGTAAAGTCGAAAAACTCTTAACATCGAAAAATTCAAAAATTAAACATAGAGAAATTGAAAAAATAAAATTGGAAAAATTCTAAAATCGTAAGATTGAAAAGTGAAAAATTTTAAAAATTACATCTAATCTAATTAATATTCGATAAATATTTAAAATGAAAACTAGAAATATTGCAAATCAAAAGTTGAAGAAACGAAAAATTGAAAAATCCAGAAAACGAAAAATCTAAACTGAAAAACAAAACATTAAAAAATCCATAAGTTCAACTGAAAACCCAAAAATTTAAAAATCCAAAAATTGAAAATTTTCACATTAAAAAAAAATTAGAAAACCAGAACATTGAAAAATTGAAAACATGAAAATAAAAAGTCCAAGCAAGAAATTGCAAATCGATAAATTGAAGAAACGAAAAATTGAAAAATCTAGAAATTTAAAAAAATTAAAAATTGAAAACTCGTAAAACTGAAAACTCAAAGAGGTGTATATAGTAGAATTGAAGAAACAAAAAAATGAAAAATTGAAAAACTGCAAATTGTAAAATTGAAGAAACGAAAAATTGAAATTGAAAAAACAAAAACAATTAAAATCGAAACATTGAAAAATGGAAAAACTGTAAAAAGAAAGTAAACAAAAAATCGAAGCGAAAAATTGCAGATCGAAAATTTGAAGAAATAAAAAACTAAAGAATTTAAAAATTGACAACTCGAGAAATTTTAATTCGAAACATTGCTAAATCTAAAAATTGAAGAAAAAAGAAAAATTGAAAAAAACAAAAAATTGAAAAATCGAATAATTGAAATAATAAAGAAAATAAAGAACCACAATTGAAAAATTAAAAACTCAAGAAACTCAAATTGAAAAATTTCAAATTTTATTTTCTTGATTCTATATCACAATTTTACGTTTTCCTCTCAATGTCTCGTTTATTCAATTCTTCAAATTTTCACTCTTTGATAATTCAATTCCCCAATTTTCCAATTTTTAATTTTTTCAATTTTGCAATTTTTGGATTTCTCAATTGCCTGATTTTCCGATTTCTTTCGTTTTTAATATTCCGTTGTTTCAAAAAATTGCAAGTCGAAGAACTGGGAAACGGAAAACAGAGATAGTGAAAAGCTAAAAATCAAGAATGAAAAAATTAATTGAAAAATTGGAAAACCCAAAAACTGAAAAATCGAAAAAAGAGTCGTCAAAATTGTAAAGTCGAAAAACTCTTAACATCGAAAAATTCAAAAATTAAACATAGAGAAATTGAAAAAATAAAATTGTAAAAATTCTAAAATCGTAAGATTGAAAAAGTGAAAAATTTAAAAAATTACATCTAATCTAATTAATATTCGACAAATATTTAAAATGAAAACTAGAAATATTGCAAATCAAAAGTTGAAGAAACGAAAAATTGAAAATCCAGAAAACGAAAAATCTAAACTGAAAAACAAAACATTAAAAAATCTATAAGTTCAACTGAAAACCGAAAAATTGAAAAATCCAAAAATTGAAAATTTTCACATTGAAAAAAAAAATAGAAAAGCAGAACATTGAAAAATTGAAAAAATGAGGAAAATAAAAAGTCTAAGCAAGAAATTGCAAATCCATAAATTGAAGAAACGAAAAATTGAAAAATCTAGAAATTAAAAAAAAAATAAAAACTGAAAACTCAAAGAGGTGCATGTCGTAGAATTGAAGAAACAAAAAAATGAAAAATTGAAAAACTGCAAATCGTAAAATTGAAGACACGAAAAATTGAAAAAATTGAAATTGAAAAAATAAAAAAAAATAAAAATCCAAACATTGAAAAATGGAAAAACTGGAAAAATAAAGTAAATAAAAAATCGAAGCGAAAAATTGCAGATCGAAAATTTGAAAAAATAAAAAACTAAAGAATTTAAAAATTGTCGACTCGAGAAATTTTAAATCGAAAAATTTATAAATCAAGAATGAAAACATGAATTGAAAAATTGCAAAACCCAAAAGTTTTAAAATAATATAAAATTTTAAAACTGGAAATTTAAATCGAAAAATTGTAAAATCTAAAAATTGAAAAATTCGAAAGTTGTAAAATTGAAAAACATGAGTAACAAAAAAAAATAAAAATTGAAGATTTGAATACTTTCGTATACCAATTTTTTTACCATTTTACGTTGAATGAAACTATTGCAGTTGTTTTGAGTTGGTAATTCCTATTCTTAAAAAAAAGTCACGAACTGTCCAATCCTTTTATTTTCGTATATACAAGCATAACTTCCTATGTATTAATTATATTCACTCTGGATTCTACATTCTTCCAAATAAAGCAAACCTGTTTTTAAATTTTTATTCCTGCTATTTTTATCTGGCAAAAATTACATATAGTTTTCTTCATCGACTTGATTTATGAAGTTAAAATTATACAGTACTGTTAAAATATTTTATTTACGAGAGAGTATAATAAATTTTACTTTTCCCACGCATTTGATCTGGGTAATGAGGTAGTTTACAACACCAGTGCCCACACTCAAGTATATGGCATAAATTAGATCATCGCTCTTCATATTTTTAAAAACAAACGAAAACCTCCTTGATTTACATAAATCGGTATTAAACAATCTTTAAAGTCATAGTTAAAATTTTGTTTTTTACACGTGTACTAATGCTTTATTATCAAACTCGATTTACACCGCCTCGTTCCGAACAAACTTCATGGTCGTATGATAATACCATTTTATCTCACTTGTAACGTGCTTTTTTAGAGTTATTATATTCACAAAGTCTCAGGATACTCTAGGCTAATTAATGGGTGTTAATAATAATTATAATTAAAATTAAAATTCAAGATTAAGTTTTCTATAATTCCGTACTAAATTTCCTTTACTATGTGTACACACCCAATGAACGATCTTCATTCCTTTCTGTGTTAATTCTAGTTCACTTCATACTTTTCCAAACACAATACGATATTAATAGCAGCGAAAGGAGATGGCTCTAAGTACTCCCATGCGAAAAAATGGGGGATCCCCGTGGTCAATGTGCAGTGGTTGACCGACATAATGTTGGGGAATTTCGCGGCCTTAAACCAAATGGAGCACATCATGTATCAGCAGTTTCCGACGCCGCCTAATTTTAGTTTCGATCCGAAGCTGGTGCCGAATCTGATGCGTAAGTTCGAAAATAAGCATCGTTCTGTATGAAAATCGTTGTTCGCGTTGTTTAGATGCCTGGAAGATGCCTATCAACATTTCGCAGGAGTCTTACGAGCGGGTGAAGAGAAGCGCGTCGCCGGTTCTCATGCCGAAGAAGGCGAAGAAGATGAAAACCGAGCACACGGATGAGAACGACAACGTTAACGACGAAGGGGTCGATGTCAATTCGAATTATAGGGTGCTGTTTTCGATGTCTTCCGAGGCGACTACGTTGCAGAAAATCGTAAAGTAAGTAGAAATGTGTTTGCTTATTTTTTCATTTGTGGTTGCTTGTTTTGCTCATTCTAACAGCTTATTATCCCCGCAACATTGAATGTTTCATAGCGTGCTTTTTTGTTTAAGAAGTAAGTTTGGTGGCAAACTTGGTTTGAAAATTTTTCCCAATGAAAATGCATGTGTTTGGTTGCCTATACATATAATAGAGGAACTGTCATTTGAATAGCAATGACGTAAACTGAAAAAAAAAAATTGGTCGAAAGTTTTTTCGATATAACTTTTTTTTGCGATTTTTGTTTTCAGATAAAGTAAAGATCAGAGGCGTAAATAACACTCCTGTAGCTTTTTTGACTTGAATTTGTCAATTTTTGTCACTTTTTCGATTTGCAGTTTTTCTTTTCGGTTTTTTATTTTCTTTATTTTTTCAATTATTCGATTTTTTAATGTTTCGATTTTCTAACTTATTGATTTTTCAGTTTTTCGTTACTTAAATTTTTCGATTTGCGATTTTTCAGTTTTTGGTTTTTTTTTTCTTCAATTTTTCGAATTTGCAATTTTTAGATTTAAAATTTCTCGATTCCTCAATTTTTAAATTTTCAATTTTTCGGTTATTTAATTTTTCATTACTTCAAATTTTCGATTTGAAATTTTTGGTTTTGGTTTTTTATTTTATTATTTTTACAATTTTTCGTTTCTTTATTTTGCTGATTTGCAATTTTTTAATTTTAAATTTTTCAGTTTTCCGATTTTCCAACTTTTGTAGAATGTTTCAGTTATTAGATTTTGCAATTTCACGGTTTTCAATTTTTCATTTTTCGATTTACAAATTTTCGTTTCGGTTTTTTATATTTTTTATTTTTTGAATTTTTAATTTTTCAATTTTTCGTTTCCATTTTTAATTTGCTTTATTTTTTCCATGTCCCGATTTTATAATTTTTTGTTCTTTCAATATTAAGTTTTTCAAATTTTTGTTACTTCAAATTTTCGATTTGGCGTTTTTTTTTTGTATTTTCAATTTTTCGATTCTTTAATTTTTCGTTTCTTCAAATTTTCGATTTGTAATTTTTGGTTTTGGTTTATTTTCTTATTTTTTTCAATTTTTCTTCAATTTTACGAAATGCATCTCTTCGAATTTTCATTTTTAAATTTTCGGTTTTCTGATTTTCAAACTTTTGGATGTTTCAATTTTTAGATTTTGTAATTCAGTTTTTTGATTTGCAATTTTTCAGTTTACAATTTTTGGTTGGGTTTTTTGTTTTCCTTATTTTTTCAATTTTTCAGTTTTTCAATATCCTGATTTTCTAATTTTTTTTTAATCTTAAATTTTTAGATTTTATAATTTTTTGTTTTTTCGATATAAATTTTTTCAATTTTTCGTTTTCGTCGATTTTTAATTTTTTTTGTAATTTTTATTTTCGGTTTTTTACTTTCTTCATGTTTTCAATTTTTTCAGTTTTTCCTTCAATTTTAGGCTATGTATCTCTTCGAATTTTCATTTTTAAATTTTCACTTTTCCGATATTCCAACTTTTGGATGTTTCAATTTTTAGATATTGCAATGATTTAAAATTTCTCGAATCTACAATTTTTCCATTCTTTAATTTATTATTTCTTCATATTTTCGATGTGCAATTTTTGGTTTCAGTCTTTTATTTTCTTCAATTTTACAATTTTTTTATTTTACAGTGTTCCGATTTTCTAATTTTTAGATTTTTTTGCCTCTAGATTTTTCAGTTTCTCGATTTTTTGATTTTTCACTTTTCAATTTTTTGCTTAAAGGTTTTTATTTTCTTTATTTTTTCAATGTTCAGATTTTATAATTCTTTGTTTTTTCAATTTAATTTTTGTATTATCAATTTTTCGATTCCTTAATTTTTCGTTTCTTCAAATTTTCGACTTGTAATTTTTGGTTTCTGTTTTTTATTTTCTTCAATTTTACAAATTTTCGGATTTTCAGTGTTCTGATTTTGTAATTTTTCTTTTTTTCAGTGCAAATTTTCTCAGTTTTTCGATTTTTCAATTTCTAGATTTTTCATTTCTCGATTTTTCAATTTTCGTTTCCGTTTTTTATTTTCTTTATTTTTATCAATGTTTGGATTCTATTATATTTTGTTTTTTCATTATTAACTTTTTCAATTTTTCGTAACTTGAAATTTTCCATTTGCGATACCTTTTTTGTATCTTCAATTTTTAATTTTTTCATTCTTTAATTTTTTATTTCTTCATATTTTCGATGTGCAAATTTTGGTTTCAGTTTTTTACTTTCTTCAATTTTTCCGTTTTTCAGTGTGAATTTTTTCAGTTTTCGAATTTTTCAGTTTTTCTATTTGCGTTTTTTCGATTTTTTAACTTTTAAATTTTTCCATTTTTCGGTTTACAATTCGTTTCGGTTTTTTATTTTCTTATTTTTTTTCAATTTTCCGGTTTTTCGATGTTCTGATTTTCTAATTTATCTTTTTCAATGTGAAATTTCTCAATTTTTCCTTTTGGTTTTTTTACTTGCTTTATTTTTTCAATGTTCAAATTCTTTAATTTTTCGTTTCTTCAAATTTTCGATTTGTAATTTTTGGTTTGTTTTTTATTTTCTTCAATTTTACAATTTTTCGGATTTTTGGTGTTCCGATTTTCTAATTATTTTTTTCAGTGTGAATTTTCTCAGTTTTTGGATTTTTCCGTTTTTCGATTTGCGATTTTTCGATTCTTCAAATTCTGGATTTTTCAGTTTCTCGAATTTTCAATTTTTCGTTTCCGTTTTTTATTTTCTTTATTTTTTTCAGCTTTTTGGTTTAACTTTCAATATCCTGATTTTCTCATTTTTCATTTTTCAATTTTTCGTTTTGGTTTTTTATATTCTTTATTTTTTCAATGTTTCGATTTTATATATATTTTTTTATTATTAATTTTTTCAATTTTCAATTGAAATTTTTTTGTATTATCGATTTTTCGATTTATAATTTCTGGAGTCTTGAAATTGTAATTTTTCAATTTTTCGGTTTGTAATTTTTGGTTTCTGTTTTTTATTTTCTTCAATTTTACAGTTTTTCGGTGATCCGATTTTCTAATTTTTCTTTTTTTCAGTGTGAATTTTCTGTTTTTCGATTTTTCAAATTTTGGATTTTTCAATTTTTCGTTTCCATTTTTTATTTTCTGCATTTTTTTCAATTTTTCATTTCGGTTTTTTATTTTCTTTATTTTTTCAATGTTTCGATTTAATTATTTTTTATTGTTTCATTATTAATTTTTTCAATTTTTTCATTCTTTAATTTTTAATTTCTTAATATTTTCAATGTGCAATTTTTGGTTTGTTTTTTACTTTCTTCAATTTTTCCATTTTTCAGTGTGCCGACTTTCTAATTTTCCTTTTTTTCAGTGTGAATTTTTTCAGTTTTTGAATTTTACAGTTTTTCAATTTACATTTTTTCGATTTTCAACTTCTAGATTTTTCAGTTTTTCGGTTATAATTCTTCGTTTCGGTTTTTCATTTTCTTAATTTTTTTCAATGTGGAATTTTTAAATTTTTCGTTGTGGTGTTTCATTTTCTTTATTTTTTCAATGTTTAGATTTTATTATTTTTTGTTTTTTCAATATTCATTTTTTCAATTTTTCGTTACTTCAAATTTTCGCTTTGCGATTTTTCAATTTTTTTTTTCCACTGTCAATCTTTCGATTTATAATTTCTGGAGTCTTGAATTTTTAATTTTTCAATTTTTCGATTCTTTAATTTTTCGTTTCTTCAAATTTTTCGGATGTTCGGTGTTCCGATTTGCTAATTTTTCTTTTTTCAGTGTGAATTTTCTCAGTTTTCGGATTTTTCACTTTTTCGATTTGCGATTTTTCGATTCTTCAAATTCTGGGTTTTTCAGTTTCTCGATTTTTCAATTTTTCGTTGCAGTTTTTTATTTTCTTTGTTTTTCAGTTTTTTGGTTTTTCAATTTTTCGTTTTGGTTTTTTATATTCTTTATTTTTTCAATGTTTCGATTTTGTTATATATTTTTTTTCATTATTAATTTTTTCAATTTTGCGTAACTTCAAATTTTCCATTTGCGATTTTTCATATTTTTTTTTGTTCTTCAATTCCTTCATACTTCATCCTTTGGTTTAAGTTTTTTACTTCCTTCAATTTTTCCATTTTTCAGTGTTCCGACTTTCCAATTTTTCGTTTTTTCAGTGTGAATTTTTTCAGTTTTTGAACGTTTCACTTTTTTGATTTTTTAACTTCTAAATTTTTCAACTTCTTTATTTTTCAATTTTTCGGTTTACAATTCTTCGTTTCGGTTTTTATTTTCTTAATTTTTTAAAATTTTTCAGTTTGTTGATGTTCGGATTTTTTCTTTTTCGATGTGAAATTTTTCAATTTTTCGTTTTGGTGTTTTCTTAATTTTTTCAACGTTTCGATTTTATAATTTTTTGTTTTCTCAATATTCATTTTTTCAATTTTTGTTTCTTCAATTTTTCGATTTAAAATTCCTCGAGTTTTCAATTTTTAATTTTTCAGTTCTTTAATTTTTCGTTTCTACAAACTGTCGATTTGTAATTTGTTCATTTTTACCATTTTTTTAATTTTTCCTTCTTTCAGTGTGATTTTTTTCAGTTTTCATTTTAAATATGTATCTAATAATAATAATTATAATTTTTAAAATTATTGACTTTTTCAATTTTACAATTTTAGAATGTTTCTGTTTTCAATTATTAGATTTTAGAACTTTTTGATTATTTATTCGGTTCTTAATTTTTCAATTTTTCAATGTTCCAGTTTTTCGACTTTTTTCCATCCATCCATTGATTTTTTCGTTTTTTAGTTTTTCAATATTTCGATTTTTCGTTTCTTCAGTTTGCAATTTTTCCATTTTCCACTTTTTCTATTTTTCGTTTTTTCAGTTTTTCGATTTTGCAATTTTTTCCAATTTTTATTTATTCCATTTTTAATTTTTTGATTTTTCAACTTTTCAAATCAAAAAAATGGAAAAATTGCAAAGTTGGAAAATCAAAAATGAAAAAACAAAAAATTGTGACAAAAAATTCGGAAAATGAAGATAAAAAAAAATCGGGAAAATTAAAAATATAAATCAAGAACTTGAAAAATTGACAAACTGAAAAATCGAAAAATTAAAGAAACGAAAAATTGAAAAATTTGGAAGTAGAGAAATTAAAAAATTAAAGCTTGCGAATTCTATTTTTTTTTAGTCACCCTGTCTAAGTAATTATAAAAACCTTGAATGCACTGATAAAGCAAAGTAGTAGTGGGTCAGAAAGCATTTTCTCAGCAAAATTTTGACGTGACGTCATCAATTTCTTGGGAGGGGATAAACGAGTAAATTTTGATAAACGATTTACCATGATTACGATAACCGTAAAACGTTTGCAAAATTTCAAAGCATTCGGTTTTGCAGTTTTAAAGTTAAATTGCAAAGTGTTGTTATATAATTTTGATTCTTGAACTCAATACGGACTCGTACACCATAAATGGAGAAGTATCTAAATTTTGGAGATGACGTCATCAAATTATTGGTGGGGATGATTAGCTAAATTTTTGTAGCGTTTTGCCATCTACATGATAGACTTAATATATTTACAAAATTTGACAACAATCGGTTCAATTAGTTTCGAAGATTACATATCTAATTAAAATCCGGACAGACGCCAGAAAAACGATCAGACAGACCGACGGAAAAGGGAGCTCTATTTCTTCGTTTTCTATAGACTCGATTACAATACTTCCTTAGTTTGCGCTCGAGGAAGTGACAAGGTTTTATTGGAGCATTTGTACTAGAAACGAACGTGTTATATGAGATACTGGGAAGGCGTAATTATGTAATTCAGCTAAAAAAACAAATTTCAACAAATTAAAAGAAATACAATTGGAAACTTTAATTAAAAACACTTTAACCACTTTTTTCCTGTTTTAACAGACAACTAGGAGGCGTCGTCGCCAAAAGCCATCAAGATTGCACCCACCTAGTGATGCCGACTCTAGCCCGCTCCAACAAGCTCCTCTTCTGCATCTGCCGCGAGGTCTACATCATGCCGGAGCAGTGGCTCAAGGACTCCCACAGCGCCCAGAAGTTCTTAGACGAAGCCAACTACAGTCTAGACACCAAAGATTTCAATAGTGAATACAAATGTGACTTTACTCAAACGCTAAACACTAAAAACCGTAGCAAACTGTTCGAAGGAAAATCCTTCTGGATAACGCCGAGTGTTTTCCCGAGTAAAAGTGTGTTAGTGGAGCTCGTGCAAAGCTGCGGCGGCGTCGTCGAGAGAATCCGAAGGACAGCTGCGCAGATCGAGGCGATGAACGTGAACGCGCCTTTCAGTTACATTATCATCACACACGAGAACGACATACATTTGGTCGCGGACCTCTTGAGGAATAAAAAAGACACAAATCGGATCGTCTGCAGTGCCGAATTGATTTTCAGTGCCATTCTTAGACAGACCTTCGAGGTGGATCCGTACGCCGTCAAAGTGTTATGAAAGTGAAGGTTTTGTTGAGGAGTTCGACGCGATTTTGTTCTTCGGCAAAATTGGAGGGTTATTTACTAAAAATTTTTGATATTTGATTAGATGTACGGACCAATCGTTTTTGTTTACTAGGACCTAAACTTTATGATTTTGTTTGTTGTTTAAACCATAGGTGTATATTGTTATTGCTTTTGTTTTTTTTTAGTACACTGATGTAAGTTAATCTTTATAAAAAGCAAGTGTCATTGAAGATGAAATTTAAATAAGAACAGAGACTTAAATTTGTGATTTTTATTGCGATAAGTTAAAAGTTGTAAGTATTTTGTAAAATTTCTAAAATAAAAGTGGAGTTTATTTCATTTTTTAATAAAAATGTTTCAACAATACAGTTATTTCCTTTTGCCGCCTTTTTTGTTGCCGCCTTTTAGACGTTTCCGCACTCCTGATGCACCTTCAGTGTCGTCGTCATCCCCGTCGTCGCCCTTTTTCCTCTTGCCTTTTTTGTCTGTTAAGTCCTTCATTTCCATTTTTGCTATTCTTTGTGACTCGGCGACTCTTTCTTGTAGCACCATAACTTCGTCCTCTTCGGTTTTGTACAGAGGCAACTTTTTTCCAATGAGGAGTTCTATCCTTTGATATAATTCCACGTCGTACTTAAATTTCAAACATTACAAAGAGTTTAACGAGAAATGTAATTATTACCTGTGTTACAAAAGTGATGGCTTTTCCTGATCTTCCAGCTCTTGCGGTCCGGCCAACTCGGTGAATATAATCCTTGCTATGTGTGGGGATGTCAAAATTAATTACGACGTCTACGTGTGGAATATCTAAACCTCTGAAAATTAATACAAACAATTCAATAGTCATTCTTAAAATAGTGTATTAAAAAATGCGCATATATTGTAATCAGAGGTAGTGACGAATACTTGTGCTTAATCATAAATGATCATACACAGTTTATACATCATTGGTTTTAATTTTTGGTAAAAATAACAGACAAAAACATAACAAATATAGGTATTCATATATTAAAAAAGTTGAAAAATGAACCGCATTCGACGCCGCTGTCTCCTTCATCGAGTGTAATTAGTGCAAGAGAAGTTAATTCGCGATTTTCTGTGACTTTTTAAACCGCTCTTTTTTTTGCGGTACCAAGTTTCAAAATTGAAAAAACAAAAACATATTTTACGTAACGCATAAAACATATCACATTCTGCTTAAAAAAAGTTCTTTCTCGAAAAATCGAAGGCCGTCTAACACTGAAAATATAATCGTTTTGCATAGTTTTTCGTCTTAATTTTACCCGTCCAAGTTTAAAATTTAAAAATTCGTAAAAATATTGGGGGAGATAGATAAATTTGCGTTTTCCTCTGCTATTTGAAGAGATATTGCGAAGATAACCGTAGAATCGCAATTCTGGGAAAATCCATATATTTCATTTTATTTGGAAAGAAGAGGTTGGAAATGGTTATAGTATATGTTTTTCATAACTTCCTTTGGATCAATTAACTGTTCTAAATTTTGAACTTCAATCTTTCCAAATAACTGAGATGTTAGAGGTCGTTCCACTCCAATATCTAAGACTTGTGTATATTAAATAGTTTTTTTTTTTATTTTTCCAAGGCATAGATCTTGATGAGTGTTTTGTTTGGACTATTAATCACTAAAAAATAAATCGCGATGAGACGACTATGGTTCTAGTACTATATCAACTTTGATCTTTCTGAAATAACATCCACGTATTTTTACTTCACGAGCATAAGCTTAGTTAGTTGTTTGGTTCAATGCTTAAAAAAATCTACACTGAGCTATTAAAGCACCTTAATTTGAGTGTTTTAATAGAATTGGTGTAATTTATGTTTTCAAGATTGGTACTCATGATAAATGTTCTGGTCAAATAACATACAATTAACGTCAAAAGAATGAAATGATTTTTAAAATTGAATTCTAGCATGTAGAATTGCAGGGTTGTAGATTGTAGAATGTCGAATTGTGGAATGCAGAATTGTGGAATGTGGAACTGTGAAATTTAGAATTGTGAAATATAAAATTGTAGAATGTAGAATTCTAGAATGTAGAACGCAGAATTGTGGAATTGTGGAATGCGGAATTGTAGAATTGCGGAATGCAGAATTGTGGAATGAAGAACCATAGAATGCAAGAATTGTAGAATTGTGGCATGTAAAATTGTTGAATGTAGAATTGTGGTATATAGAATTTTGGAGTGTAGAACGCAGAATTGTAGAATTGTGGAAATGTGGAATGCAAAATTGTGGAAAGTAGAACATATAATTGTGGATTGCAGAATTGTGGAACGTAGAATATATAATTGTAGAAGTAGAACTGTAGAAGTAGAATTGTGGAATGTAAAATGCAGAATTGTAGAATGAAGAACCATAGAATGCAAGAATTGTAGAATTGTGAAATGTAGATTTATGGAATATAGAATTGTGGAATGTGGAATTGTGGAATGTGGAATTGTGGAATGTGGAATTATGGAATGTGGAATTATGGAATGTAGAATGCAGAATTGTAGAATGTAGAATTGTGGAATGTGGAATGTAGAATTGTGGAATTGTGGAATGTGGAATTATGGAAAGTGCAAATGTGGAACTGGAGAATGAAGAACCACGGAATGCAAAAATTGTAGAATGTGGAATTGTGGAATGTACTACTGGGGAATATGGAATTGTGGAATGTAGAATTATGGAATGTGAAATTGTGGAATGTAGAATGCAAAATTGAAGAATGCAGAATTATTGGAATGAAGAATTGTAGAATGCAGAATTGTGGAATGTGGAACTGTGAAATGTAGAACTGTAGAATATAAAATTCTGGAATGTAGAAATGTAGAATTCTAGAATGAATGTAGAATTCTAGAATGTAGAAATGTAGAATTCTAGAATGTAGAAATGTAGAATTCTAGAATGTAGAAGTGTAGACTGTAGAACGCAGAATTGTGGAATGCGGAATTGTAGAATTGCGGAATGAAAATGAAAGAATTGAAGACTGAAGAGTAGAATGAAGAACCATAGAATGCAATGATTGTAGAATTGTGGATTGTGGAATGTAAAATTGTTGAATGTAGAATTCTGGAATATAGAATTGTGGATTGTAGAATTATGGAAACTCGAATTGTGGAATGTGGAATGCAAAATTGTAGAACGTAGAATTATAGAATGTGCAATGCAAAATTGTAGAACGTAGAATTGTGGAATGTAGAATGCAAAATTGTAGAATGTAGAATGCAAAATTGTAGAATGCAGAATTATAGAATGAAGAATTGTAGAATTCAGAATTGTGGAATGTGAAACTGTGAAATGTAGAATTGTGGAATTTAAAATTGTGGAATGTAGAAATGTAGAATTCTAGAATATAGAAATGTAGAATTCTAGAATGTAGAAGTGTAGAATGTAGAACGCAGAATTGTGGAATGCGGAATTGTAGAATTGTGGAATGTGGAATTGTAGAATTGCGGAATGAAAATGAAAGAATTGAAGACTGAGGAGTAGAATGAAGAACCATAGAATGCAAGAATTGTAGGATTGTGGAATGTAGAATTATGGAATATAGAATTGTGGTATATAGAATTTTAGAATGTGGAACGCAGAATTGTGGAATGTAGAATTATGGAATATCGAATTATGGAATGTGGAATTATGGAATGTAGAATGCAGAATTGTAGAATGCAGAATTATAGAATGAAGAATTGTAGAATGCAAAATTATAGCTTCATTGTGGAACTGTGAAATGTAGAATTGTGGAATGTGGAACTGTGAAATGTAAAATTGTGGAATAATATATTGTGGAATGTAGAACGCAGAATTGTAGAATTGCGGAATGAAAATGAAAGAATTGAAGACTGAGGAGTAGAATGAAGAACCATAGAATGCAAGAATTGTAGAATAGTGGTATATAGAATTTTGGAGTGTAGAACGCAGAATTGTGGAATTGTGGAATGCAAATTTGTAGAATAAAGAATTGTAGAATTATGGAATATAGAACTGTGGAATGTAGAATTATGGAATATCGAATTGTGGAATTATGGAATGTGGAATGCAAAATTGTAGAACGTAGAATTATGGAATGTGGAATGTAAAATTGTAGAACGTAGAATTGTGGAATGTAGAATGCAGAATTGTAGAATGCAGAATTATAGAATGAAGAATTGTAGAATGCAAAATTATAGCTTCACTGTGGAACTGTGAAATGTAGAATTGTGGAATGTGGAGCTGTGAAATGTAGAATTGTGGAATGTGGAACTGTGAAATGTAGAATTGTGGAATATAAAATTGTAGAATGTAGAAATGTAGAATTCTAGAATGTGGAAATGTAGAGTGTAGAACGCAGAATTGTGGAATTTAAAATTCTAGAATGTAGAATTGTAGAATGAAGAATCGTGGGGTGGAATTCTGGAATGCGGAACTGTAGAATTGCGGAATGAGAATGAAAGAATTGAAGACTGAGGAGTAGAATGAAGAACCATTGAATACAAGAATTGTAGAATTGCGGAATATAAAATTGTTGAATGTAGAATTATGGAATATAGAATTGTGGAATGTGGGATTATGGATGTAGAATTATGGAATATCGAATTGTGGAATGTGGAATTATGGAATGTGAAATTGTGGAATGTAGAATGCAAAATTGTAAAATGCAGAATTATAGAATGAAGAATTGCAGAATGCAGAATTATAGAAAGAAGAATTGTGGAATGTGGAACTGTGAAATGTAGAATTGTGGAATGGGGAACTGTGAAATATAGAATTCTAGAATGTAGAAGTGTAGAATGTAGAACGCAGAATTGTGGAATTTAAAATTCTAGAATGTAGAATTGTCGAATGAAGAATGGTGGGGTGGAATTGTGGAATGCAGAATTGTAGAATTGCGGAATGAAAATGAAAGAATTGAAGACTGAGGAGTAGAATGAAGAACCATAGAATCCAAGAATGGTAGAATTGTGGAATGTAAAATTGTTGAATGTATTATTATGGAATATAAAATTGTGGTATATAGAATTGTAGAATTATGGAATATAAAATTGTGGAAATTGGGATTATGGAATATAAAATTGTGGAATGTGGGATTATGGAATGTAGAATTATGGAATATCGAATTGTGGAATGTGGAATTAGGGAATGTGAAATTGTGGAACGTAGAATTGTGGAATATAGAATGCAGAATTGTGGAACTGTGCAATGTGAAATTGTGGAATGTGGGATGTGAAATTGTGGAATGTAGAATGTAAATTTGTAGAATAAAGAATTGTAGAATGAAGAATTGTAGAATTGTGGAATGTAGAATTATGGAATATAGAATCATAGAATTGTGGAATGTAGAATGTAAAATTGTAAAATGAAGAATTGTAGAATTAGAATTGTCAAATTATGGAATGTGGAACTATGGAATGTGGAATTGTAGAATAAAGAACCATAGAATGCAAGAATTGTAAAATTGTGGAATGTGGAATTGTTGAATGTAAAATTGTGGGATATGGAATTGTGGAATCTGGAATTATGGAATGGTAAATTGTGGAACAGAATTGTGGAATACAAAATGCAGACTTGTAGAGTGAAGAATTATAGAATGCAGAATTGTAGAATGTGGAATGTAGAATTATGGAATGTGGAATTGTGCAATGTGAAATTGTGGAATTCTGGAATGTACATAGAATTATGGAAAGCAAAATTGTAGAATGCAGAATGTGGAATTGTGGAATGTGGAATTGTGGAATGTGGAATTCTGGAATGTAGAATGCAAAATTGTTAAAATGAGGAATTGTAGAATTGTGGAATGTGGAATTGTGGAACTTTGGAATGTAGAATTGAGGAATGTGGAATTGTGGATTGTAGAATTGTGGAATGTGGAATATAGAATTGTGGAATGTGGAATGTAGAATTGTGGAATGTGGAATGTAGAATTGTGAAATGTGGAATGTAGAATTGTGGAAAATGAAATTGTGGAACATAGAACTGTGGATCCAGAATGCAAAATTGTAGAAAGAAGAATTGCAGAATGAAGAACCATAGAATGCAAGAATTGTAGAATTAGGGAATATAGAATTGTGGAATGTGAAATGTAGAATGCAGAATTGTAGAATGTAGAATTGTTGAATGTAGAAGTAGAATTGTGGAATGTAGGATGCAAAATTGTAGAATGTAGAATTGTGGAATGTAGGATGGTGGAATGCAGAACTGTAGAATGCAGAATTGTAGAATTGTGGAATGTAGAATTGTAAAATATAGAATTGTGGAATGTAGAATGCAGAATTCTAGAATGAAGAATTGTAGAATGTAGAATTGTGGAATTGTAGAATTGCGGAATGCAGAACTATGGAATGCAGAATTGTGGAAAGTAGGATATACAATTGTAGAAGTAGAATTGTAGAAGGCAGCATAGTGGAATGTAGAATGCAGAATTGTAGAATTGTGGATTGTGGAATTGTAGAATTGTGGATTGTGGAATTATGGAATGTAGAATGTACAATTGTGGAATGTGGAATTGTAGAATTCCGGAATACACAACTGTGGATTGCAAAATTGTGGAATTGTAGAATCAGAACTGTAGAATTATAGTATGTTCTAATTGCGGAATGTGGAATTATGGAATGTGCAATTGTGGAATTGTGAAAAGTAGAATATATAATTATAGAAGTAGAATTGTAGAATTGTGGAATGTAGAACGCAAAATTGTAGAATGAAGATTTGCAGAATAAAGAATTGCAGAATGAAGAATTGTAGAATTGTGGAATGACGAATTGTAGAATGTGGAATTGTAGAATGTACAACTGTGGAATTGTGTTATGTAGAATTATTGTGGATTGTAGAATTGTAAAATGTAGAAGAAAATCTACTTCGCGTCCCTAATCGAGCTATTAAAGCACCCTAATTGAGTGTACCTTTATAGAAATTTGAGTGTTTTAAAAGAACAGGTGTAATTTATGTTTTCAAAATTAGCACTCTTCACAAATGTTACTGTCAAATAACAACTACAATTAACGTCAAAAGAATGAAATGATATTTTCAATTAACTAAAACTGTAGAATGTAAAATTTAGAATATAGAATTTTTGAATGAAATGTACAATAAGTATTGCACATATTAAACGTAACATTGGATGTGTTTTAGGCACTTGGTAAGGTGAATGTCATAATATTTTGCTGAAAATTTCTGCGTGAGTCACCCACCTGGACCTATGGAGCTCTATACCCTCCAGATAAATTTGGATTTAGACACAGCTGGGCCCAAATAAATATATCGGGTGTTCTTTTGGGCAATTTCCCGTATTTCGAGGGGCGTAAAATTTGTCATTAATTTTATTCACAGAACTACACGTTCCGGGTTTGGACTTCTTACCTTTTATTCGAAAGGTATTCCCTAAGAAGGTGACGTCATTTTTTTTTAAATTTCAAACTTGGGAAAGTCAACCCTAACCGTGAAAGCCTTCAACTGCATTAATTTTTTTTTCTACTCCCGTACTTAAAATGACATGAGCCGTGATTAAACAACCAGCTAAGCCACGGGCGGAAATTAACCGCGCTGTTTTTAGCCACAGCGTGAAGTTACTTCTTGTCAGATTGACAGTACGAATTTTGACGTGTTGACCTCTGTTGACTTCTTTAATCATCGGTGTTGGAACAAACCACTGTGTTATCATTTAATACCTGACGTTTAAAATTTCATAGGTTCTTATTATAAGAACTCTGTAGTGAATTTTGGAAGCAATTTCTTGCGTATAAAAGAAATGCCTATTTACATTTACACAACTAATAAACTCAACTAAATAAAAAAAATCATACCTGCTAGCAACATCTGTAGATATAAGAATAGACCGATTCTTCGCTTTAAATTTTGTCAAGGCTGCCAACCTCTTATTCTGCGACATCTGCCCATGCAAAGGCACCGCTGTAAGACCCAAATTCCGTATCAACAACGCCGTCCTTATTGTATTATTGCAAGTCGAGCAAAAAATCATAAAACTATTCCCCGCCATTTCATTCAATATGTGCACAAGATACACATCCTGTAAAAACGCAAAAACATAACTTTCCACCCCAACAAAACCACACACACAAATACCTTAAACTTCGCCGGAATAAAAATATAATACTGCTGCAACTTCTCCACAGTTTGATACTTAGTTGAAACCTCCACCCTCACAGGATCGTTCAAACACGCCCTTTGCAACTTCTTCACTTTCTTGGTCATCGTAGCTGAAAACAAAAACGTGCGCCTCTCTCTTGGTATCACCTTCAAAATCTTATCAACCTCCACCTCAAAATCCATGTTTAAAATCCTGTCAGCTTCATCCATAACTAAGTACTTTAACGCTTTCAGATTAAACCCTTTAGTGTTCTCTAAGTGATCAAGTAACCGCCCGGGCGTTGCAATCAAAATGTGAGGTTTTTTCGCCAACATTAAAGCCTGTGACATCATGTCCATCCCTCCCACGATCACTGCACATTTTACTCCAATACTAGCCCCCAGAGCTTCAAACTGTTCGGAAATTTGGAACGCTAACTCTCTTGTGGGGGTTAAAATCAAAGCGAAGTATCTTTGCGGGTTTTCAAGAAGGGACTGTAAGATAGGTAGTGCAAAAGCTGCGGTTTTTCCAGAGCCAGTTTCAGCGAGTCCGATCACGTCTTTGCCTTGGAGGGCTACAGGAATTGATTCTTTTTGGATTTTTGAAGGTTCTTTCCATTGGAGTTGTTCGCAGGCGGTACAGAGAACGTCGACGAGACCCTAAAAAATTTAATTGAAGTTTGAGGTTAGGTCAGAACAATCATGTTTTGTGATTACCAGATCTTTCCAGGTCATGGGTTTTTCGTCTTCGGGTGTTTGTTCGGGTTCTATGGGTTCGGTTTCATTATCGACAGACATTTTGACTGACGGTTTTCAGAATAAAATGTAAATATTTGAAAATTTAAAACCCTTTTGATATTTAAAATACACACGTGTCTCAAAAGTCAAAATACTCCTATGAATACCAACATTAATATAACCAACCTTATCGACTCCTCCAATTAAAAGTCACTAAGTATATTTTGAAGCTTGGGTTTTTTCCATCGAAAATAAAAAGGACATTTTTTTAAATCTCGAGACTATATTGTAATTTTTGTATCTTTTTATTTTGAATTTTCATAGTATGGTTACTTTACAATTAATTTTTCTCTCTGCTGGTCATAGATGCCATTGCCAAATACTTTGTTGTACCTACAAACACATCAAAATTAAGTTTTTCATTATAACTATAAGCAAGAATAATTATATATTTATAAAAAACACGATCGAAGACAACAATGAATTTTTGAAGATTAATCTTTGATCGTTGCATGTTCAGCTCAAACTTTCAGATTGACAGAAATGTGACAAGACGACAATGGCTATCTGTTCTCCCATTTTTACTGCTCACTCGGTATATCCACTATGCAGATATTTAAAAAAGTATAATATTAATTTGTTTGATTTGTAGTCGTACTTAAGCCCACCCAATCGCGGCGCCTCTGATCCCTAGTGTTTTTCATTTTACGTTGGCAGCGTCACTTTAAATGTCAAAATTAGCATTGGCGTCAACCTGTAAAAAACCAACCCGCTCAACGTCAAAACAATAATATTAAATAGCTTAAACAATACAAAACCGTAATATAATGTGAATCGCAAATAACCCAGTGAGCACTTCGAAGATCTAAATGGCGGCGGCATTGGAGTCCCCAACACCCGAACATTCGTGGATGGAATTTTGCGAAAGACATGCATCTGTAGCAGCCCAAGATTTTTCAAAAAGCTGCATTCAGTTCATGTCGTTGAACCTGTCAGAAACAGCCAAAGCGACAATAACGTACAAAGATTTCCTAAAAAAGTTCATCGACACGTTTAGCGAGCACTTTGAAACCGATTTCAACAAGCGCAAATCACAGACCAACAAAGTAGTCAATGGGGCTTCAAGACTGGAAGATGACACCTCCGAGAACGAAGAGGGGTCACCGAAAATGCAACAGAAACCGTTTTTTAGGAGGTATGCGGGGGCGGGGGTAGTCGGCGCAGACGGTGATCATGACAATTGTAGGTTAAGTTTCAAGATGTTGAGGAAGGGCAAAGATTTGTTCCACAAACAGCATTCGGATGAGGTGGATCTGGCGCATAATAAGACGAAATTGGCGAAGATTGTGGTGGAATGCCGCAAAGAAGGGATTGTGAATTATTCAACGCCGGAGAGTTTGGACCAGCCAGGGGGGCCTCCGAAGTGGGAGAAGTGCCGGTTGGCGCTTGTCAAGGCTGTGGGGGGATATATGTTAGAATTTTACTCGCCACCAAAGAGTACAAAAGTAAGTGCAGTAGTTGTATTAGTAAAAGAGTGTGGTTAGTTCATGATAAATGACACATGAAAAATTGGCAATTTTTCTTTGTCATAGAATTGCGTCTCAAATTTAGAGATTTTCGCCATGTAACTAGTGAAATTTTAGCGTTACAAGGTGGTTGGTAATTACTTAATAAATGAAATTTAGTAAAAATAAAACCCAAGTTATATTTCTACTTTTTAAAAACCTTTAGTATTTATGTAATTGATGAGATATTATTGAGCTTTAAAATTGAAGGATGTTAAGCCACCATTAATTTGAAATGAATGAATTCATCATTGTGATAAATCTGTGCACAATACTCTGTCCACTTGAAGGTCTTGTTATTAATTCACACCATTGTGCATGTAATTTGTGGTAGTTCTGGCTCGTTTTATGACCAAATTTATTGTGATTCATAATTTTTAAAAAATCATCAGGATAGGAAGTTAATATATCTTCATGGTTATGAATAATTAATTACGAGTTCTAATTATGGACACGAAAAAAAGATAATCCATAGATAAAAAAAATGCATGGATAAAACACAACTAATATGCGCAGGCGCAATATGCATAATTTACAATTGCTGATGCGACAGTTTTAGATCATTATTTGCAATATTTATCCCGAAAATTAAAGATATTTGGGTCAAAAAAGTGGCCATTAAAATATAAGAAATTAGTTGAAATTTTCCATTTCTGTTTGTGTGTTTTCCATTCTCTGAAACTATTTATTTGGACTGATTATTATTATGAAATTTTAAGAGTATTTTGAGCTTATGTAGATAGTAAAACGCCCAAAATTTGCCTTATCATTCACACAAAAAATTTGATGACGCTGTTTCAAACTTGTGCTAAGAATACATGATTTGAGAAAAAAATGGTCATCGATTGTTTAGACAGAACTTCCCTCACATCTGAAGTACAGTTGAACAAATCCTACATGCTATAAGTTTATAAAATATAGATAATATTAATCACAGTATAAAAAAAAAATGGCGCTCAAGGTATGCGGGGTCATGAAACGTCGATAAACATGAAAGTGGCAAGTCGCCAGGACTCGGTTACTATACTTCCTTAGTTTACGCTCGGGAACTAAAAAAGAAAAATCGAAAAATTGAGAATAAAAAAAAATGGAGAACTCGTGAAAGTGAGAAATCGAAAAATTGACAAATCGAACAATTTGAAAAAAAACGAAAAATCGAAAATTGAGAACTCGAAATATCGATAATCCACAAATCGAAGAATAAAAAAATTGAAAATTCGAAAAATGGAGAAATCAAACAACTGAAAAAACGAAAAATTGGGAATTCGCAAAATAAAAAAAAAATCAGAATTCGAAAAATTGAGAAATTAATCGATGAATTGAAAATCTAAAAATCAAGAAATGCAGAACCACAAATTTTAGAAATTGGGAAATCGAGGAATTGATAAATCGACAAAACTAGAATTCGAGAACTCGAAAAATTTAAACATCGAAGACCGAAAATCGAACAATCCAAAAAATGAAATTTTACAAATTAAAAAAATCGAGAAATCTAGAAATCAAAATTCGAGAAATTGAGAATTCGTAACATTGAAAAATTAAAAAATTGAAAATGGGAATCTCGAGAACTTGGAAAATTGAAAAATCTCAACAAAGAAAAACTGAAAAATCAAGAACTGACAAATCGAAATATATACCGAACCATGGAAAAAACAAAAAAATTGAGAAATTCAAAAACCAGAAAATCGAAAATCGAAGGTTCGATAAATTAAAATGAAAAATAGAGAAATTGAAAAACGAGAAATCGAAAAATCAGTCATAAAATAGAGAAATTGAGAAACAGAGAACTAAAGAAATCGAGAAATTGAGAATTCGAAAAATAAAAAACTTGAGAATTTGAAAAACGAGAAATTGAGAAATCGAGAAAACTAGAATTCGAAAACTCGGAAAATTGAAACATCGAAAAATTGAGAATTCGAAAAACCAAAATAGCAAAAATTTGAAAAATCTAAAAATCGGGAGATTAAGAACTTGGTAAATTGAAACATTAAAAAATTGGAAATTCGAGAAATCAAAAATCAAACAATTGAAAAAACGGAAACTTGGCTATTCGAAAAATCGATAAATCGAAAAATCAAATAGAAAATTCGAGAAATCGAGAAATTTATAATCAAAAAATGAAGAAATTGAGAATTCGACAAATCGAGAAATCGAAAAATCAAAAAACCGCAAAATGTATAACCAAAATTTCGAGAAATTTGGAAAGTGACAAATCGAGAAAAACTAGAATTCAAAAACTCGAAAATTGAAACATCGAACAATCGAAAAAACAAAAAACTGAGAATTTAAAAAAACGAAAATTCTAAAAATCGAAAAAGCTAAAAATTTGAAAAATGTAAAAATCGAGAATCAAAAAAATTGAAAATTCACAAAAACGAAAAATTGGGTAATTCGAAAAATCAGTATAAAAATTCGGAATATCGAATATTGAAAATTCGAAAAATCGAAATACTGAAAATTGAAAATTCGAGAAATCGGGAAATGTAATATGTATCAAAAAATGAAGAAATTGAGAATTCGCAAAATCAAACAAAAAAAAAATCGAAAAATCGAGAAATCCAGAAATTGGTAAATAACGAATTAAAAATCTAAAAATCAAAAAATGGAGAAGCAAAAATTGTAGAAATTGGGAAATCGGGAAATCGAGAAAACTAGAATTCGAGAACGTCGAAGAACCGAAAAATCGAACAATCCAAAAAACGGAATATTGCGAATTAAAAAAAAAGCAAAAATTAAAAATGTAAAAATTTGAGAAATCTAGAAATCAAAAATGACGAAATTGAGAATTCGCAAAATAAAAAAAAACAGAATGCGAAAAATTGAGAAATTAATCGAAGAATTGAAAATCTAAAAATCAAAAAATGCAGAACCAAAAATTTTAGAAATTGGGAAATCGAGAAATTGATAAATCCAGAAAACTAGAATTCGTGAACTCGAAAAATTTAAACATCGAAGAACCGAAAATCGAACAATCCAAAAAATGAAATATTACGAATTAAAAAAAATTGGAAAAGCAAAAATTTGAAAAATCTAGAAATCAAAAATCGAGAAATTGAAAAATCAAAACATTGAAAATGAGAAAAATCGAGAAATTGGAAAATCGAAAAATCTCAACTTAGAAAAACTGAAAAATCAAGAACTGACAACTCGAAAAATCGAAATATATACCGAACCATCGAAAAAACAAAAAATTGAGAAATTCAAAAACCAAAAAAATCGAAAATCGAAGGTTCGAGAAATTAAATTGAAAAATAGAGAAATTGAAAAACGAGAAATCGAAAAATGAAACATAAAATAGAGAAATTGAGAAACTTGAGAATTTGAAAAAAAATGAGAATTTGAAAAGTCGAGAAATCGAAAAATGCGAACCTAAATATTTGAGAAATTGAGAAATTTGAAAAACAAGAAATTGAGAATTCGAAAAATCAAAAAAGGAAAAATTTTAAAAATCTAAAAATCGGGAGATTAAGAACTTGGTAAATTGAAACATTAAAAAATTGGAAATTCGAGAAATCAAAAATCAAACAATTGAAACAACGGAAACTTGGCTATTCGAAAAATCGAAAAATCAGATAGAAAATTCGAGAAATCGAGAAATTTAAAATCAAAAAATGAAGAAATTGAGAATTCGAAAAATCGAGAAATTAATAATCGAGAAATCGAAAAATCAGAAAACCGCAAAATGTATAACCAAAATTTCGAGAAATTTGGAAACTGACAAATCGAGAAAAACTAGAATTCAAAAACTCGAAAATTGAAACATCGAAAAATCGAACAATCGAAAAAACAAAAAACTGAGAATTTAAAAAAAACGAAAATTCGAAAAATCGAAAAACCTGAAAATTTGAAGAAAGTAAAAATCAAGAAACAAAAAAATTCGAAAAAACGAAAAATTGGGTAATTCGAAAAATCAATATAAAAATTCGGAATATCGAATATTGAAAATTCGAGAAATCGAAATACTGAAAATTGAAAATTCGATAAATCGGGAAATGTAATGTTTCAAAAAATGAAGAAATTGAGAATTCGCAAAATCAAACAAAAAAAAAATCGAAAAATCGAGAAATCCAGAAATTGGTAATTAACGAATTGAAAATCTAAAAATCAAAAAATGCAGAATTAAAAATTGTAGAAATTGGGAAATCGGGAAATCGAGAAAACTAGAATTCGAGAACTCTAAAAATTAAAACGTCGAAGAACCGAAAAATCGAACAATCCAAAAAACGGAATATTGCGAAGTAAGAAAAAGCAAAAAAGCACAAATTTGAAAAATCTAGAAATCAGAAATCGAGCAATTGAGAATTGAAAATTGGAAAACTCGAGAAACTGAAGAATCGAAAAATGTCAACATAGAAAAACCGAAAAATCAAAAGTTGACAACTCGAAAAATGGAAATATTAAATACCGAAAAGCGAAAATCGAGGGTTCCAGAAATTAAAATGAAAATTCGATACATTGAAAAACGAGAAATTGAGAATTCGAAAAATAAAAAATTTGAAAATTTGAAAAATACAAAAATTGAGAATTCGAAAAGTCGTGAAATTGATAAATTGTTAACCGAGAAATCAAAAATCTCAGAAAATTGAAACATTGAAAAACCTAGAATTGGAAAAATCGAAAATTCGAAAAATGAAGCAAACAATTTAAAAAACGAAAAATTGAAAATTCAAAAAATCGAAATGAAAATTTGTAAATCGAAAATCAAAAAATTCAAAATTCGGAAAATCGAGAAATCGAAAAGACAAACAACTGAATAAACGAAAAATTGAAAATGCGAAAAACCAAAATAAAAATTCGAAAAATCGAAATATTAAATATCGAAAATTCGAGCAATCGAAATATGTATATGTAATGAGAATTGAAAATTTGAACAATCGAAAAAATAAAAAATTGAGAATCCGAAAAATCAAAGAAAAAATTCGAAATATCGAGAAATTGAAAATAAACATGAAGAAATTGAGAATTCGAAGAATCAAAAAAACTCAGAATTCAAAAATCGAAAAATTCAAAATTTGGTAATTGAGAAATCGGGAAATTGATAAATAGTGAAAACTAGAATTCGAGGACACGAAATATTACAAAAACAAAAAATCGAGAAATATAAATATCGAAAATCGTACAATCGAAAATCAAAACATTCAAAATTCCTAATCTCAAGAAATCGAAAAATCAAACAATTGAAAATTCTGAAAATCAAAACAAAAATTCGAAAAATCGAAATATTGAAAACCGAAAATTCGAATAATCGAAAAAATGAGAATCCGAAAAATCAAAACGAAATTTCGAGAAATCGAGAAATTTAAAATTAAAAAATGAAGAAATTAAGAATTCGAAAAATCCAGAAATTAATAATCGAGAAATCCAAAAATCTAACAATCTAAAAATCAAAAAAGCAAAAATTTGACAAAAAAATCTGGAATCAAAAAATTGAAAATGCGAAAAATCAACAAATTAAACAGTTAAAAAACGAAAAATTGGGTAATTGGATAAATCGAAAAATTGAGAAATCGGAAAATTAAGATCAAAAATGAAGAAATTGAGAATTCGCAAAATAAAAAAAAAGAGAATTCGAAAAATCGAGAAATCTAGAAATCGGTAATCGAGGAATCGAAAATCTAAAAATCAAAAAATGCAGAACCAAAAATTTGAGAACTCGGGAAATCGAAAAATTGAAACATCGAAACAGCAAAAATTTGAAAAATCTAGAAATCAAAAATCGAGAAATTGAGAATTCGTAAAATTTAAAAATCGAAAAACTGAAAGATTGAAAAATCTCAACATAGAAAAACCGAAAAATCAAGAATTGACAACTCCAAAAATACCGAACAATCGAAAAAACAAAAAAATTGAGAAATCGGAAAACCAAAAAATCGAATTACATCAAAAAAAGGTTCGAGAAATTAAAATGAAAATTTGAGAAATCGAAAAATCTCAAAAAATCTAAAAATGCAAATCCAAAAATTTGAGAAATTGAGAAATTGGGAAAACAATAAATTGAGAAATCGGGAAAACTATCGAAAAACCGAGAGTTGGAATAATCTAAAATTCGAAAAATCAAAAAAACAAAAATTTGGAAAATCTAAAAATCTAGAGATTGAGAACTCGGAAAATTGAAACATTAAAAAAATGAAAATTCGAGAAATCAAAAATCAAACAATTGAAAAAACGAAAAATTGGGTATTCGAAAAATCCATAAATCAAACAATCGAAAAAATGAAAAATTGAGAAATCGAAAACCAAAAAATCCAAGGGTCCAAAAATTAAAATGAGAATTCGAGAAATCAGAATCAAAAATGGAGAAATTTAGAATATGAAAAATAAAAAACTTGAGAATTTGAAAAATAAAAAAATGAGAATTCGAGAAATCGATAAATTGATCACCGAGAAATCGAAAAATGCAAATCCAAAAATTTGAGAAATTGGGAAATTGGAGAAACGAGAAATTGAGAAAACTATAATTCGAAAACTCGCAAAACATCGAAAAACCGAGAATTGGAGAAATCGAAAATTCGAAAAATCAAAAAAGCAAAAATTTGAAAATCTAAAAAACGAGAGTGAACTCGGAAACCTGAAACATTAAAAAATTGAAAATTCGAGAAATCAAAAATTAATCTATTGAACACACGAAAAATTAGATATTCGAAAAATCGATACAAGTAAATATCGAAAATTGAACAATCAAGAAGACGAAAAATTGAGAATTCGAAAAATCAAAATAAAAATTTGAAAATAGAAAATCAAAAAAGTCAAAATTAGGAAAATCGAGACATCGAAAAATCAAAATAAGAACTCGAAAATCGAAATATTGAATATCGAAAATTCAAGCAATCGAAATACCTATTAAAAATCGAAAATTCGAACAATCGAAAAACTGAAAAAATAAGAATCCGAAAAATCAAAAAGAAAATTTGAGAAATCCAGAAATTAAAAATCAAAAAAATGAAAAATGAAGAAATTGAGAATTCGACAAATAAAAAAATTGAATTCGAAATATTGAGAAATCCAGAAATTGGTAATCGAGGAATCCAAAATCTAAAAATCAAAAACTGCAAAACGAAAAATTTGAGAAATTGGGAAATCGAAAAATTGAAACATCGAAGAACCGAAAAATCGAACAATCCAAAAAACGAAATTTTGCGAATTAAAAAAAAATAGAAAAAGCAAAAAGCAAAAAATTGAAAATTGGAAAAATTGAGAAATTGAGAAACTGAAAAACCAAAAAATCGAGAATCGAAATATCGAATATCGAACAATTGAAAAGACGAAAAATTGAAAATTCGAAAAATCGGAATATCGAACATCGAAAATTCGAGCAATCGTAAAAATGGAAAATTGAGAATACGAAAAATCAAAAAGAAAATTAGAAAAATGAAGAAATTGAGAGTTCGAAAAGTAAAAAAAAGAGCATTCGAAAATCGAAAAATGCAGAACCAAAAATTTGAGAAATCGGGAATCGAAAAAACTAGAATTCGAGAACTCGAATAATTGAAACATCGAAGAACCTAAAAATCGAAGAATCCAAAAAACAAAATATTGCGAAAAAAAAAATCGAAAAAGCAAAAATTTAAAAAATCGAAAATCGAAGATTGAAGAAAGCAAAATGAAAATTTGAGAATTCGAAAAAAATATATGAGAATTTCTAAAACGGGTACATTGATAAACCACAAGTATAGACCATAGAGTCTTACCATTTTGCCTGTTTCAGAGAGTATTTGATTTATTCGGCAAAATTTTTAAATGACGTCATCAATTTTCTGGGGGGGAACTTATAAATAACCTTAAAACTTTTGCGAGATTTTAGAGCGTTCGGTTTTGCACTTTCAAAGTTAATTTGCTAATTGTTATACAATTTAATTTTTTTTCCAAAAATCTGGTGGTCAAAACTCAACACGGATTCATACACCACAAGTAACAACACAATTTTTAATCGCTTGTTTTTATAGCCAAGAAGCGGCGTTTTTTGCGCTTTAATCACGGAGGCCCGCGAAACAACAGCCCTGGAAATGCCCGACCACGAAAATACGTTTGTCCTCAAAGCCAACAACAGCCTAGAATTTGTTATAGAGGCACATGACACCGACGACATGAGGTTAAAACCAACCAAGTATCTAAACCTCCTATAGTAAAAATGTTGTAGGTCGTGGCTGGCTACCATCAAGTACTGTATCCGTTCGGGGGCAGGCTATGGCGACGCCGGCCCTGGAGAGCACGGTTCGCGGGACTACCATTCAGATGCTCCAGAGCTACCACCAAGACATGTCTCGGGTCGAGGGGGCGACCGGCTGTCTTCCAGTAGTAACTTTGACATGTGCCCGTCGTCAGGAGATGGTAAAAAGAATAATAATAATAATAATAAATGGGTATTGTTTAATCTGGTTGTAGCTATGGAGACTGACATCGGGCAAACCCTGAAGAAGGAGTTCTGGTTCCACGGTACCTTGGGTAGATCCGAAGCCACGAATTTGGTTCTCCATGACGGCGCTAGAGGGCACGGTTTGTTTCTGGTTAGACAAAGCGAGACGCGGACGGGGGAGTTCGTCTTGACCTTCAATTTCCAGGTAAGACGGCTTGATTTAGTTCGTTTTGGATGACACTAGGTAAATAAATCACAGGGTCGCGCCAAACACCTCCGTATGACCATCAACGACCAAGGCCAATGTCGCGTGCAACACTTCTGGTTCCAGTCGATCTACGAAATGCTCGAGCATTTCCGACAGCAGCCGATCCCTCTCGAGAGCGGCGGCAGTTCCGACGTCACCTTAACCGACTTCGTCGTCAACCCCAACGCCAGAGGGCAGCTCCAAGGTTCGATGGGTCGCGGCAGTTCGTCCAATCAAACTCAAGCTTCTTCCACCAATGGCGTCCACGAACGTAGAGTTCCACCGATCCCAGAAATCAGACAAGTGAGATAAGATCAAATCATGTTCGAGTATTGTGTTCAGTCTTTTTTTGTTTTGTTTGTGCTCGACTTTGTTTAGTTTCTATCAGGTAGATATTTTATTTTTTAACCTTCTTGTATATAGTTTTTTTTCTTTTTTGTTTTTTGTATATATTTGGTGTGATTAAGTGTGCTTTAACTGGCTTTCGATGTGTATAACTCGTGCTTACGAGGGCTCACAGTTGTACTCGGTGATAGTACTCATGACGTGTAATTAAATACAGTACAATACTCGTAAGGTCTTCAGTATCAAATGTTTCGTTTCTACTTAAAGCTACTGTGGTTGAATTTATTTTGTATATATTATATGCAATGAATGATAATTAAATGTACATTTTTTTTTAATTTTAAGTATTTATTTTATATTAGTAGATCTTGCATAGTTTTATTTTTAAAGATGTAAATTCTTCATTGGTAGCTCTTATTTTCAATTCATTTTTAACAAAAGGATTAATTTATTAAGAGACGAGATACACGTAGTTATTTTAAGTACAAATTTATAAATATAAATTGAGGAAGTATTCATTGTTTTATTTTATCCCGGCTTTTGATTCAAATTTGACTTAAAACTAGTGATCACTATACTGCGCAGGCGCAATAAAATGAACAACAAACAGAGAGTTTAAACAACGACTAGATACAATTTTACTTATCAATTTTTTTTAATTTTTAGGTTCAAACTCACAATGGAAGTGTACGAACTCAGGAAACTACTCTGGAACAAATTTCGGAAGCTAGAGCTGTAGAAAACCAGTATAGTTTTGTGTAATAACACAGTCGGCCATTTTGTTCACCCGTTCATTTTGTACTTGATTGTTTTTGTACACTGCAGTGAAATCGTTTATTTTGCACAGTAACAGCAACATATCAGGGCATAATAGGCAGGCAATTTTTCCATAATAAAACTGTCCATTTGTGTTGTGATAGCTAAGTACTGAAATTAAGAGAAATGGTATTTGTGTAGTGGTCTGTGTATGTCGCAGACGGAGTTAAACCGTTCCTATTCAGTATTACTAAAATACCTCTGAGATAGTGAATGTTACTGAACAAACCGAGCTCTACTGGATCAAACTAGTGTCACGTGACGTGACGTCACGTCACGCGAGGCTAGCGAATAAAATTCACAGCGGCATTTGAGATGCTCAAGATTTTCCACTTGATGTTAATAGGGATTGTGTCTCATGAAATACTGGTATTTATCTGGCTTCAGCTTACATTTGTTTTGAGCTAATATTCAGCTTCTGATTTCATAGACACAGTCACTAATCAACTTCGATCAAATTATGACAATAGATGTTTCTACAGTTAGCACTAGTTTAAACTGTAATTTTCTCATAGCTGTCCACTAGGTATGTGTACAAATTGTAATTACTTTTAGTATTGTAATATATGTTATGCCATTACTTAACTCTTTTTTTATTATTGATCATTCACAAAATTTAATTGTTCATTCAAAAATTCCACAAACTGAGAATCCGTCACAGTTTCCGTCCACACTTTCACACAGTTCGTGATTTGGTTGAGTTTCAAAGCAAGCACATGTTTACATGTTACTGACGCCTTGTCTTCTAAAACTTGTGACTGGAAAAATTGGCACTGACAGAAATTAATATCGTTGTAAATTGTGTATCGTTCCATGTTGGTGCCTACTTTGTAAATGCTTCTATACTTGTCTGTGGTTTGGTACTGGGTAATTTTGCAATTATCCAGTAGTTCTGTGGCTGCGGCTAAAACATGACCAAACACAGACGACAATTCTGTGAGGACTGCGTCAGATACTAAAAAAATAAAAATAAAATATATAGTGCTATATTCAGGAATTTACATTTGTGATGATTTAGGTAATACCGCTCGGCTTCTTTTAGTAAATTAAAGGCTAATTTGGGCACAATCGCCTCTTGCAGCATTTTCGCTGTTTTTAGGTTATGTTGATCAAATCGTGACATGCACGTGACTTTCAAATTTCAAATAACACCAGTGTTGCCAGAGTTACATGGTAAAATTTCGCTACATGTCGTTGAAAATTCCGCTAGAGCCTGTTTATGATTATTACAAAAATGCACCATTTTAGACATGTTTTAAGTTTTTTGTTGTCGAAATAAGTCTACACATATTAAGAAACAGAAAGGCAAAATGTAGCCCCGCCCACCTGCCCTATCTCAGTTGTGATGATTTTTTTTATTCGTATTGAGGCATGGGGGTGGAGCTTAACTGCAAAATGCTTTTTTCTATACGAGAAATTAAAAACATGCTTTTGAGCATCGTGTTGTTCAAAGAATACTAAGATTACTAAGTATATTAAAAAAAAATTGAAGCCAAAGATGAAGCCCCACCCATACCTGCCTTGATCCATGCTCCTCATCTAAATAGTAATAAAGTTTTCATTCGTCGTCAGGCATAGAAGCGGAGCCTAATTCTAAAATACATATTTTCTTACAAAAATTTACTATTTTAAACGTGTTTTAAGTTTCTAAAAATAAAAAAATCATCACAATTGAGTTAAGGCGGGTGGGCGGGCTTACATTATGCCTTTTTGTTATTATATGTGTAGATTTCTTTTCACAACATTGTCTGTGACTTTGTGGTGACCAAATTTGAATTAAAATTTCGCGTTGAAAAAACAACGGTGCATGTGCAAGTTTAGTTCTTTTTCTGGTGGTTGGTAGCTCTCCTAGATAATTTCTGAGTAGTATCTGCTGAGAGGGTTGGTAGTGAAGGTCACTTCTTTGTTAGAGAGTTGAGAGGCGTCACTGTTGTTTTATTTGGTGTGAGTAAAAGCACCCGGTAAGGTGGCTAAATTAAGTTTAGTTGGTTTGGTAGTTAAAAAAAGGGGGACGCCTTTGTTTAACGAAAATTAAGCGTAACTAATTATTACTGTTTTTCCAAACGGAAATATGCGAATTTTCGACTGACGCTCACACGTGGTGTAAATTTGTATTATTGTTTGTAAATTCACAGTTCATGTTAGGGTTTTAATCGTTACTGGTTCTTACACAATTTAACAGACATTAGATTTATTTAAGTAAACACTCACTAGAAGATTCCATGAAATTCACTTGGTCAGGATTTAGTCTTTTGTTTAACAAAGTTATAAATAAGTTTCTGCACCTCATGCAATTTTTCTCTATCTCACAATTTTAGCCTCAGGAATTTTCCTTGTTGTATAATTTAAATTGAACGTAAATTTTCATGCTCTGCAGTTCCTAACCTCATTTTTTTTGTCTGCACCAGATCTTTTTCTTGTTTTTATAAATCTTTGCAAGTTATTTCCACCACATAAATATTTTGTTGATTAATGTTTCCATCGTATAAATTGTCTGATGTCCAATTTTATTCCCAGATAAGAATCCTTTGCTGTTTAAAATTTCACGAGAGTGTATGGCGAATTTAAATGTTGTCTACTGATCTTTTTGAAACTTTAACACTTGTTCAGTTGTAATTTAATATCAGAGTCATAGAAATTGAACATTTAAATGGAATGGGGGGTAAATAACACAGAAACACGTGGCAGAAGCGGAGGGCGCGGTTCCTAGACGATCTGGCGGGATTTATCGCGTCATTTGCAAAAAAGACGCAACAAAAATACCCATAGGGAGCATTGTAGCATGAGCGGAATTTGGGGCTCCTGGTTGTGGCTAGTCCTCCACTGCGACGGCGATTCTATTCTATCAGCAAGCACTGCCGCTCAGCACTCCTCTATCTTAAAGAAGAAACGTGTCGCGCTAATCAGGCCGTTACGGTCGCAAACTCGTGCTTGGAAATCACGGCTATAAATAAGTTGGCAGCTTCACGTCGTCCCAACCGTTCCCCTGCGATAAATCCCACCAGCTCGACTAGGAACCGCGCTCTTCGCTTCTGCCACGTATTTCGGTGTTATTTAACGTCAATTCCGTTTTAAATATTCAATTTCTATGACTCTGATATTAAACTACAACTGAACAAATGTTAAAGTTTCAAAGAGGGCAATAAACAACATTTAAATTCGCCATACAATCTTGTGAAATTTTAAACAACAGATAATTCTTATTAGAGACTAAGATTGGACATCAGATAATTTATATGATGGAAATGTTCATCAAGAAAATATTTACAAAACAAAAACTAGCAAAGATTGATAAAAACCAAAGATCTGGTGTGAAATAAAACTTGTGAAGATAAAATATTACGTGAGGTTAGAAACAACAGCATGAAAGTTTACGTTCAGTTTAAATTGTTTAACAAAGAAAACTACTGAAGTTAAGATTGTGAGTTAGAGAAATATTCTATGAGGTGAAAAATTGCAAAGCTAACAAATTTATTGTTTGCCCAGTTTAAAGGGATTTTTATGATAGGTCCATTCTGTCGAAGTTGATGATAGGGACAATGGAGGAAATCCCTAGCCATAAATAAGAAAGTGGTGGGTTTCTTGCAGGGCCGTACTTTGTTATTCAATTCATGTTCTCCGTCGTGGGGTAACAATGAGGTGATAATGTTTATTATCTTGTCATAAAAACCACTTTAAACTGGGAGTGCAATACACGAGATTAATACTTGCCACACTTTATCAACGCCAACGGTTCAAACAGGGACTTATTATTAACTGCCGTAAATGAACTATTAGCAATCTTGTGTGAAGAATTAAGAAGTGTTATAATGTAACACTTTAGTATTAGCATCCAGAAACTTATTTATAACTTTGTTAAACAAAAGACTGAATCCTCACTAAGTGAATTTCATGAAATCTCGTAGTGACTGTTTAACTAAATAAATATAATGTCTGTTAAATTGTGTTAAAATCAGTTAACGATTAAAATCCTAACATGAACTGTGAATTTACAAACAATGAATCAAATTTATATGTGTTAGCGTCCGTCGGTCAAAAATTGTGGCGTCGTCGTCGTTACGATTAATTATCGTTAAACAAAGGCTTCCTCCCTTTTATTAACTATCAAGCCAAGTAAACCGCGTCTTTTTATCATGCTTTCACACAGAACCAAACCAACAATGACGCTTTCATCTCTCTACCAAGCCGCTCTCTTCAACCAACCCTCTAACTAAAATTTCAAGCAGAACTACACACTACCCAAATGCGCCAACGTGCATATAGTTGCCTATGTTTAATGATTTTTTTATTTGATTTTTTTTTCAAATTCAAATTATTCAAATGTGATTTCGCGCCGCTGTTAATTTTTTTTTTCAGCTCGAAATTTTGATTCAAATTCGGACACCACAATCGCCACACTCTTAGGCGTCCTGGTGCCGCTGTCGCTGTGCACTTCGCTGCGTAGTGTTTCTATTAAAGTTTTATTCTCTTGTTGACTGCCATAATTTTAAATTTGCCGCCACACGTCCATACTAACTTATGTATTTGCATCCAGTTACTGTACTTCAGATTTTTTCTGTTTTTATTAAATTTGTGATATTTAAATATTTGCATTAATTCAGAACGTTTAATTTGATTTCATACCAAGCTAGGTAAGTTTTTTTTTGTAGCTAAGAACGAAGAGGTCTTCAACCTGCGCAACTTGGTCGCAGCTTTTTTTTCAGTGGAGGTGTATGTGATTTTGTATCCTCCATATATTTTGTGTTTTATTTGGCGGTACTTTTCCAACCTTGGGGATATACTGTACCTGCACTGTTCTAAATATGTAGTAAGAAGTTTTCATTCGTTGCTAGACCTAGAGGAGGAGCTTAATTGCAAAATCTATATTTCCCTACAAAAAATTATCATTTATTTAAACGTTTTTTAAGTTTCTAAGAATAAAAAAAATCATCACAATTGAAATATTTTGCCACTTTTTCTTAATAAACATGGTATTCTTTGAACAACACGTTACTCAAAAACTTTTTTTTAATTTCTTGTAAAGAAATAAGAATTTTGCGGTTAAGATCCGCCCTCTTACTTCACGGCGAATAAGAAAATCATCACAATTGAGACAGGGCGGGTGGGCGGGCTTACATTATGCCTTTTTGTTTTAATATGCGTAGACTTTTTTTCACAACATGAAACTTAAAACATGTTTAAAATGGAAAATTTGTACAAGGAAATATCAATTTTGCAATTAGGTTTCGCCCCATTTTTTTCCTTTCAAAAATGTGCCATTTTAAGATTGTTTTGAATTTCTTGTTGTGGAAAGATGGCTATGTATATTAAGAAAAAAAAAGGCAAAACGGAAGCCCCCCCCACCCACCCTATCTCAATTCTGATGATTTTTTTTCATCCGTCGTAAGCCGAGGGGCGGAGCTTAATTGTAAAATCCTCATTTTTCTACAACAAATTACCATTTTCAGTTTTTTTTGCGCTGTCGCCGCTACACTGCTCTTTGGCCAAAATTCCGCTACGTCTGGCAACACTGAATGACACCGTAGTTTTTTAAGACCCACCACTGACCCGGAAATGACCGGCATTCAGGCAAGACTTCTATCATTACGGGTACTAAGACCAAGTAATGATATGAATTGATTAGATTAACAGAACAACTTTCGAGATTCTAGAATTACAGCATACAAATTAGTCTGCTATTATTCTCTAATCTCACCCCATCCCCAAAAGTCCAGCGTAACTACCGACCATTTATCCGCGCATCACATGAAAAGTGACCTACACTACTCTGACCTACTGGTGCTAATCTAATCTGACTGACATGATCAGACTGTTCAAGAAACTTACGAACAATATGACATGTTCCTAACAAAACAGCTTTTTGAATTTTGACAATTATTGAATCATTCAAATGCAAAGATTTTAAATTCTCAACTAAGCTATTTGGAACTACACCTACATTAGAGATAACTAGGGGTAGAATTGAAATTTTTTTAAGATTCAACATGGATTTCATTTCTATCGATAATTGTAGATATTTTGAAATCTTGGTGTCGTATGTTTGAATAATGTTGTTTGTGTTAGGAATAGCAATGTCAATAAGAATGGCTTCGTTCGTGTGTTTTTTGATAAGTATGATGTCTGGTCTGTTAGCTGTAATGTTTAAGTCTGTAAGTATTGTGCGATCCCAGTATAATTTGTATTTGTTATTTTCAAGGAATGGAGACGGAATATAAGTGTAATAGGGTGTCGTATCTTCGATTAAGTTCATAAGTGTTGCTAATTCTTTGTGAATGATTTTGGCTGCGTTGTCGTGTCTAGCTTTGTAATCAGTTTGTGCTAGGATGCTGCAAGAAGAGATTATGTGCTGGATCGTTTCAGGTTTTGCTTTGCATAGGCGACAGCAGTCGTTTTTTATGTTCGGATCTTTGATGATGTATTTTCTATAATTCTTGGTATTGATTACTTGGTCTTGAATAGCAAACACAAATCCTTCTGTTTCGGCATACAAACTTGATTTTTTTAACCAAATCAATGACATCTTCTTATTGACATGATTTTCTTCTAAGTCTTTGTAGAATTTTCCATGTAGTTGTTTTTGTTTTAGCCCACTTATTATTTTATCTATTGTGTGGGGGGTGTGGATTTCTTCGGTGTTCGACAGATTTAAGGGTGTGTGGTTCAAATCTGCTCTTGTGATGGTGCGAAACATTTCATTTCTTTCCGCTCGTTTCAAGAAATACTTCTTCAAATCTGAAATTTGTATCTGATATAAGTTTTCTAAGTTCTGGAAACCCCTTCCTCCATTCTGTCTTGGTAATGAGAATCTTTCAATCGACGATTTTGGGTGATGCCTTCTATACTGTGTGAAGATTTTCCTTGTTGCGATGTTTAAATTTTCAAGATCAGTTTTGGACCATTTAATGACTCCAAAAGAATATGTTAGCAGTGGAACGCAGAATGTATTTACTGCTTTCATTAAATTTTTTCCATTTAACTGTGTCTTCAATATTAATTTTAATCTTGCTACGTATTGATCTTTCAACTGTGTTTTCGTTTTGGTATGATTGATGTGGGAGGATTGACAGAAACCCAGATATAGGTCACTCTTTTTTTTTTTTTTTTTTTTTTTTTTTTTTTTTTTTTTTTTTTTTATTATTATTTAAAAGCAAACCTTTTTGTTTTTAATTATTACATTTTTTTTTAAATAAATAGGTAAAATTTATTTAATTTAGTGTAACTAGTTTTAATACAATTTTAAGTGACCTGTAATTTTATCTAATACAGTTTTTGGTGCCGGTCCTAACGCAATCACAGTTCGTGTCCCCGGTGCAACCTGTGTTTGTCCCGCATCTCTAATAATACTCGATAACACATTCATCTCTCTTGCTTTTTCATCTAATTCTAACAACTCATCTTCAGAATCAATCCGGACGGCTATTTTAGTTCCTCCTGGAAACGAACACTTTCATTGTCTCCTTATTAACAAAACGCAAATTTACCGAATCTAAGCCACCTTTCCAACGTTTGTGGGGTTTGTTCGAGGGCTTTAGCATAGGCTGCCATAGCAGCATGACCACACTGAGCAGCTACTTTTCCCTTTTGCATTTTTAGATCGTTTCGAACACCCATTATTAGTCGGTATTCATCTTTAGGGTCTTCAAACTATCAAAAAAGCGGATTTGTAAAATTATAGAATATTAGATGTGGTTGAACCTAACCTCAAACCTTTCTTCCATTCCCGGCTTCCATATACTAGAGTTGTGTGGCGGTTTTCTCAGGAATTTGAGAAAAATATAAGATGAAGTAGCACCTACCAATGCTCCAGCGCCGAAAATTGTTAAATAAGCGTTGCTTGCAATTATTCCCATTTTTGAAATTGTCTTTTAGGTTAGGCAATGTGCACAAATGTCAAATTCAAGGTTGGAAAGAATTCTTCGTTGGTGATATTACACCGATGGATTGATCAGCAACATTGTGACAGTATGATACAATTGACTTTTTAAGATTTATGTATTATAGAAAAAAGTAAATAAGGAGTTCTCGTAACTAATACAATTTTAAATTTTCAGTAATCTGATCTAAAAGATTTTTGCGCCCCGGTCCTATAGCAATCACGGTACGTGTGCCCGGGGCAACTTGTGTATGGCCTGCATCTCTAATCACACAAGATATTACATTAATGGCTTTTGCTTTTTTCTTTAAATTTAACAATTCTTCTTCTGAGCCCACACACACAGTAATTAGCGGTCCTCCTGAGAACAAAATGTAATTTTCTTTAAATTCATAATTAAAGACACTTACCACACATGAGCCACTTCATCAGTCTATTTGGTATGTTCGCTGACGCTATTGTGTAAGCTGCAACACTTGCGTGACCACACTGAGCGGCTACTTTTCCCTTTTGCATTTTTATGTCTGTACGAACTGCAATTACCAGCTGATATCCACCATCTATGCTCTGATTCTGAAAAACTATGCATAAATTGTTTGTTATAGAATTTCAAAACTTTACTTTTGACTCAAAACATGCTTCTATGATGTTTGGTGGATCTTTCAGTTTTTTGAGGGGTGTTTTTTTGCGACCTTTTACGAACACGTAAGTGGCGGTTGCTCCGATTAGCGTGCCGATAACAAAAGTGCATAAATACTCGCAATTTACTGAAAGTTTCATTCTCAGTGTATAAAATTAAAAGTTATTTTGACGTGTCGCAGCTTTTATAGGTTAGAACACGTGCTTGTGTTTACAAAAAATTTGTAAGGACAGCGTGGAAGCAGTGGAAGTGTCAAGGATGTTGCTACCGGTACATTTGTTGTAAATTTGTTGTATGTATTTTATCAGTGTATGAAATAAAAATAAATAAAATCTGATAAATCTTGTCTAATTAAACTTCGATTACGGTTATGTTTGTTTTCCACTATGGTTTTCCACGTATGTTCCACGTCATGAATGATGGGTTGCCTAGTAACGCGGCGTTCCAATTTGATCAATTTTATTATTTTCCAGCTGTCTTGAATACCATATTGGTTAAACTCACTGATATTGATCCTTTTTAAGTTCAAAGAAATAACGTTGAAGCGTAAAGTACGAACAATACTCTCGCAGTGTCCTGACCATGACATTAACTTTGTTCGGTGTTGCGGGGATAATAAAATAATGGATCTACGTTACTTTATTAAGGATTGCGCTTTAATTAAACATACTTATCACAAAAAAGAAAAATTCTGGAAAAATTACTCTCTAAAAGTAGATTCAGATTTCGCACAAAAACAGGGTTAAATAAACTGAAGTCAGATATGTATTGCCAAGCTTACGGGTAAAATTCGGTAAGAACACATTACCACACGATGAGCGATTTCAGTGATGGAGCAATTTCCAGAAACACTGAAGAAATTTCCCAGAATCCTTACAATCCTTAACACTTCCAACTTCGTTAATGCAGCTTTCAAATTCTTGACGTGCGTCATCACTAATATTAAATGTTTGAACCTCTTCAAACAATTTTTTTCTCCGAATGGCACCATCAGCATAGATTACTCTTTTTTGTAACAAGATACACTTGTGAAAGCAAGCTATGTTTTCCGGTGTTTCGTCTAATAAATTGTTTGAATTTGCTATTACATCTTCGACAGTCAACGAGTTTTCTTCCAGACATTTGTACAACATCGCTTTTCGATTTTCATATACGGAGGAGCCTTGCTTGTCTGCAGTGCACACCTAAAAGAAGGAATATCAAAGAGTGCTCGTAAAATTAGCTGTACACCTGCCTCGAAAAGTGTGGTAAAAGAGAAAAATAGAACTATGTTTCTCAGTTTCATGTTTTGTACGTTTTTGAAGTTGTATTTCATCTGTTGTTAATTTATATAAAGCTGTCACGGTAATCGTTGAAAAAATTAATAAATTAGTTTTTATATTAATGTATAATAACGTTCATTAAAGTATTGCATGTTGCATGGACAATGTTGTCATTATTCTACGTGCCGGATTTTTTGGTTAATTTGCTAATTAAATAGTTTGCTAACCCGTAGAATCTACAGTTAATTTATTTGCATTGATTATGTTATTAGAGATGGTACCTACAAATTTAATTTATTTCGCTTTGGTTTATGATCTTGCAACAATTTAATTTTTTTTCTGTGGTTTCAGGATAGAAAAACGAATACTGGATTACATATTTTCGATAAAATGATAAACAAGAATCGAAGACCGAGATAATGTCCATTCAATTCAATATACGTATAACAATAATTATCATGAAATATTGTTACGTTGAATTGGTGATTAAACTCGGCATGGGTTAAACTCAACAATTTATTTCTCGATAACTCAAATTTACACGTCTAATTATTACACAGCGATTATGTACAAAATAATTCCGGCGCAACTTGACTGTACTCTCGTGGACTCGATTGAATGAATAATGCTCGTCCTCGAAGGTACCCTCGATTTTAAACCCAAACTCGTTGTAGATGTGTGACGATCGGGATCTTTCTCGATTGCCGTTCCCGACTTCCGCTTCCAGGCGTTTCTTTAGCGGTTCGCCGTTCGATCGCTGTCATTGACGATGAGTCATCATCGGCGTACAGATTAGAAAGTTCTTGACGGTCCATAGGCGTCGTACTGAGGCGGCATATGGGTTTATTTCGTAACATTGCCTCCTCCTTAACATCGACGGTGTCGGTGTGTATACGTTCGAACATTTGCGTATACCAACGTGTGCGAATGGTTCGAGAATACCGAAATCTTCTTGAATATGCTGAACTTATTCGAGCAAGTTCGAGAATCGACCTCCACGGCGTCTGACCATCATAGGTGGGTGGTTGAAATGTTCTGTAGGCCGAAATCGCATTACATGAGGTAAATGTTGCTGAATTTTTCATTAACTTTTCGAATTTCTTTATTTTGTTTTCTATTCTACCTTTCATAGTTTTCATTCGATTATCCATGTTGTTTCCCATTCGGTCTTCCTTAGTTTTCATTCGATCTACCATACATTTCTGGACTGATTTTTCGAACTCACTCTTTAGCTGATGCTCGACTTGCTCTTTTAATTTTTGGTCCGACAACATTTTGCATAACCTTCAACCTTCAAATTTGTTTCTATGTCCTTCATTTGTTCTTTAATTCCTGTTATTTCATTCTTGTTTGCTTCTATGTCCATGTGGAATCTCTCAGTTAAACTGATTATTGTATGGTTTCTTGCGTCTATTTTTTCTATTCTTGCATCCATTTTTTCGTCCATTTCTTTATGCTTACGCGCAATTTTTCCATTTCTACGTTCATTTGTGCAAGCATAGCCGTCACCTGTTTTACTTGATTCTCCAGTGCTGCTGCAGTTTGAGCCCTAGCCTCGGCAGACATAAATTCTTTAGAATTCTTGTCCAATCTGCCCGGAAGTCGTCGTAAAATGGGTTATTAATCTCAAATCTCACTTCCGACATTGGTGTCGGAGCAGTGCATCAAAATTTGATCTTACCTGTGACACCTGTGGAAATTTGTTCATGTCCTTAATAAACCTTGTTAATTTAAATTTCGATTAAGGTTATGTTTGTTTGAAACTCATGAATGATGAGTTGCCTGGTCTTCCATTGGTTGACCCTGACATTTGTAAGGTTTATGGGTTTAATCAAAGAAATGAAAAATATTTCTATGGCCTATGCTAATCTGAAAACTTTTCAATCGCCCGTTAGAAGTGATCCACGGCTTTAAATGTCAGAGCAATTTCAGGGCAAAATTAGTTTTATTATTTTCCCAATTTCTTGAATATCATATTGGTTCAACTCACTGATACTGGTTCAAAGAAATAATGTTGATAGCGTAAAGTACGAATAATAATCCAGTGTCCTGATTCTGACACTAACTTTTTTTTGGTGTTGCGGGGACAATTAAATAACGTATCTACGTTACTTTATTAAGTATTGCGCTTTAATTAAGCGTAGGTAGGGACTTATTACAAAAAAGAAAAATTCTGGAAAAACTACTTCCAAAAGTAGATTCAGATCTCGCACAAAAACAGGGTTAAATAAACTGAACTCATATTATTTATTGCCAAACTTACGGGTACAATTCGGTAAGAACACATTTACAACACGATGAGCGATTTCAGTGATGCGGCCATGTCGGGAAACACTGATAGACTTTCCCAGAATCCTGACAATCTTGAACACTTTCAACTTCGTTAACGCAGCTTACAATTTCTTGACGTTTATCGTCACTAACATTAAATATTTCAACCATTTCAGACACTTTTTCACTTTGAATGGCACCATCGGCATCGATTAATCCTTGTTCTAGCATCATACACTTACGAAAGCAAGCTATCTTTTCCGGAGTTTCGTCTGAATTTCTGTTAGCTTTTAAATCTTCGAAAGTCGCCGAGTTTTCTTCCAGACACTTTTTCATTATCGCTTTTCGATTCACATCTCCGAAGAAACCCTCCTTGTCTGCAGTGCATATCTAAAAGAAGGTATATTAAAAATGCTCGTATAATTAGCTGTAGGTACACCTGCCTCGAAAAGTGTGGTAAAAAAGAAAACTAAAATTACGTTTCTCAGTTTCATGTTTAGTATGTTTTTGAACTTGTATTTCATCTGATGTTAATTTATATGGAGCTGTCACGGTCATCGTTGAAAAATTTGTTAAATTGGCTTTTATACTGATATATAATAGCATTCATTAAAGTATTACATGTTGCATGGATAATGTTGTCATTATTCTACGTGCCGGATTTTTGGTTATATATAATTTGCTAATTAAACGGTTTGCTAACCCGTAGAATCTACAGTTAATTTATTTACATTGATTAGGTTATTATGTTTATTAGATATGGTACCTACAAATCTAATTTATTTTGATTTTTGGCTAATGATCTTGCAACAATTGAAATTTTTTGAGTGACTTCAGTGTAGAACAAAGAATACAGGATGACATATTTTCTATAAAATGATAGACAAGAATCGAAATTATAAATAATTGCATCATTTATAGACCTAGATAAGATCTTCGATAAGGCACCAAGAACGAAACATTATTGTTATTATCATTAATGATATTTAAAAGAATTTATAAACATACAAGAAATTATCTTAGAACAAATAGTACTGAATATGTCAACATCACACTATGTAAAATGAGAATATTTAAAATTACTAATTTTGTCTACATTTTCACTTTATTATAACAGATACTTTGCTAACAAGTTTAAGCTCTTGGTAACCGGTATTTTTTGTAAAGAATCTTGCAGCTTTTTCAATACCATTTCACCTACTCTTCCTGGGCTATCTAATCTAGTTATACTTGTTTTTAAGATGGTAAAATGCGTTTTTATATAAACCAAATTATGTTTGAGTTTCCTTTGCTGGAAATAGTGTTGAGCATCGGCGATGCATTTCGGCAACCATGTGCACGTTAGCGCTTTTAGGTAGTGGGTAGTTCTGCTTCAAATTTTAGCCAGAGTGTTGATCGAAGAGGGCGGCTTGGTGGAAGATGGCGGCTTGGTAGAGAGGTGAAAGCTGTGGATGAAAGGGTCATATCCAAGATAGGGGTGAAAATGTATTTTGCAACTTGTATATATTAGCTGAAAAATCAGATACGTTAAAGTCACTAAGAATAACATCATTGTTCATATGTGACTCTTCAAGAGTGTTAAATAAATTTAGAGAAAACTCGTAATCAGTGAGGTTAATGGAAGGAGGAATGTACCATGTCTATTTTTGGTAATGTTGATGTGTACTAAGTAATTATTCCGAAATTCAAAAGAAGAGGAATAATAAATATTACTATACAAAGTAGGAACATTCTGATACAAAAAACTGAGTAACCGATTCATCATCAGATGCAGTATTATAGTTTAAATGGCGA